AGAAGGAGCTCAGTGTGGTGGGGGGGGTGGGGTCCCCAGGTGGGGGTGGTGGGGAGCTTGCTCCAACTTTGGTTGATTCTCACTGACTTCAGATACCTCCCCCCCTACCTGCCACCATGTTCCTTCAACCGCCAGAATTCCCACGGACTGTCCGCCAGGCTCTCTTGTGTCCTCGCTTCTGTTTGTTTTTGCCCATTTAGTGTGTTTCTCTGGGAGTCGACGACTTGTCAGCCTCACCTTTTCTCTCCTCCTCCTCCTCCTCCTCTTAACTTTCCACAGCCGGGGGCACCCGGGCTCACAACAGCAGACCTGGATCCAGGCAGTGCCAGCCCTGGGCTTGCCATCCCTGGCATCCTCTCCCCTCCCGCCTGCAAACCCCTCACTCTTCCCGCTGCGGAGGGAGGGAGCCTGGCAGCCTGGCAGGGGCCAGCTCTGGGGAGAGGAGCGCGGAGGGCAGGTGTCCTCAGCGATGGTCAGGCTCCCTGTCCGCCGCTCCAGGGCCTGCCCTCTCAGGTCCGGGCGCTCCTGGTACTTCCTCCTGAAGTCCTTGTGGGACAGTCAGAAGGGAAAGTTACCCATCGAATTCGGTGAGCGACAGAAGAGTCTCCATCCTGTCCCCTCCGACTAGTTTCACATGCTTCCCAAGACAGTTGGGGCTGACTGGCCCAGCCCACACACACAGTTCTGACCTTTCCCATGCGTTTGTCCAGCACCAGAGAGGAAGGTCAGGATCATCACAGATACTGTCTGAAGTCCAAGGCCCATGCTGAGAAAAGAATCTAGCAGAATCTTTTTTTTTTTTTTGCTTGGAATCTGGGACCATACCACCCACCTCAGGATCTGCCTAAATAGAGGGTTTGTGGGTGTTCCTGGCATGGGCTGGAATTTTAAAATCCTACCGATTTGCATTTTTTATGCACCCTAGGTGGGAGGTACTGAGGGGAGGAAGACAGAGCCTGTGGGTGCCAGGAGAATAGGAACGGCAAACAGGCATCTGCACCGAGCTGAGCTCCAGGTCCTGGTTTGCACCGTCTCCTGCCAAGGGCCGGAGCCCCTGGTCCCCAGGAAGAGGAAGGGGAGAGGCCGAAGTTCCCTGCTCCCCATTAGCTTTCATTTGGCCCTTTGTCTGAACAGCTTCAGCCTTTGACTCTCTTGGAGAGGAAGCCAAATGCCTGGCCTGGGGCCCAGAATGACACTCAGATGGGAGAGCTATGCACCCCCCCCCCCATGGGGCTCCAGCCCCGCCCCTGTGCCAGCCCGCCTGCCCGGGGAAAGGAGACAGAGGAGTGACAGGCAGAGCTGTTAGCGTCTCCTTCACCCCCGCCCTGGACACCTCAGCCCCGTGCTTAGGTGTCTGAGCCAAATCTCAGCGCCTCAGTTTCCCCAATGGGAGTGAAGGAGAAAGCAGAGCTGAGTTGGCCCTGGCTCAGCCCTCTGGCTCTTGTAAGGGTTATGAGGGTGAATTCAATGCAGCTTGGCTGGAATAGGAGGTGTTGGCTTATTGATCCCCCAGGTCTGCAGTAGGGTGGGAAAGGCATGAAGTTTGTCATGAGTTTGAGGGTGTGTGTGTGTGTGTGTGTGTGTGTTTGTTCCTCCCAGCCAGAACCATCCCTGCCACCCAGGAGGCCTGGCTTTGCAGTGCGTGCCCAGGAATGGCACTTGTGGAATATCCGTCAAGTTCGACATTTATTCCACGAAATTCCTTTCCAGCAGCATGGGTCCCGCAGACACTGTGGGTTAAACCTGCTGGAAAGGGGAACAGTCAGGGGCTGTGAAGCGGTCTCTGTCCGAGGCCTTCTCGCTCCCCTCCTGCCTCCCAGCCCTGTCCTGGCCCAGGAAAGCTGGACAAGAAGAGTCTGTTCCTGGAAACCAAAGCAGCAGAACTTCCCAGTTTCCTGAAGCAGAATATTTGCTCTGTAATGAGTGAGCTCGGGTGGGGGCGGGGGAGGCCGAGGGTTTGGGGATCCTGGCTCCATGTGGTTAATGTCTAGAGAACTGGCCCCTGGGCCCTGCCTGGACAGAACGGCGGGATCGGGTTTCAGGGATGAAATGTGGCAGCGAAGTAGCAGCAGCTGACACACTTCTTCATTAGGACACGGGGCTTGGGGGCTGCAACTACTCGGCAGGGAACACATCTCTCCCGGCTCCAGCCGCCAACGAGGGGCCCTTCCCGGAGCATAGGCCTTGGGACCAGCTGTTCCTTACACTCCGCTCCCCAAGGGCTTCTAACAAAGGGGTAGACACGGCACACGGAGGAAGCAGATGTAAAATGCTCACAGGGCGTTCCTTATGAGTTCAGATCAGTAGAGAGCAAACAAAGTGCACACAGGCTGAGCGATGGGGGCTCATGAGGTACAGCCAGGCTGGGAGGGCTTCCTGGAGGAGGAGGCGGTGGATGGAGGCCAGCTCTTGGAAGGCCCACCCCAGCTGAGGCCTGGGGAACCAGGAGAGGGACTTCTCTCAGGCTGGAGAAGGCCATCCTAGGACAACACGGTGTTGCTCGAAGGTAGGCCGCTAGTGGCCACAGTTCAGGAGGTTCTGGCATCTGGAGGAGGACCAGGCCTAAAGGCAAAGAAAGGAGGAGAAACGATGGTGACAGAGGAGATACGGCAGGATCAGCCTTCAGCTCTTGGTGCAAAAGAGCACATTTCCTGAGGCAGGTCAACGCTTTTGCAGAGGACCTCACACTGCAGCTCCCTTGATGTGTAGAGCCGGGGCAAGGAGGAGTTTGGATGAGCTCGGCCGGCGTGGCTCAGAGGTTGAGTGTGGACCTGTGAACCAGGAGGTCACGGTTTGATTCCTGGCCAGGGCACATGCCCGGGTTGTGGGCTCGATCCCCAGGGGGGTCGTGCAGGAGGCAGCCCATCAATGATTCTCTCTCATCATTTCTGTTTCTCTCTCCCTCTCCTTTCCTCTCTGAAATCAATAAAAATATTTTTTTAAAAAGAAACGGAGGCAGAGGATGGGCTAGAAGGCTATTAGAAGAGTCCGTGCAGGAATGTGAAAGCCTGAACTAGGAAGGAGAAAAGGAAGGGAACTTTTTGAGGTCCCTTGGATGCCCGAGGAACTTGATTGACCGACTGCCGGGGACAGGAGCCGAAGCTGTCGGGGAGAAGGGCTGGGTGAGGCGGAGAGGCCAGCGAAGGGGCGAGATTGGGCTCCTCTGTCTGTCTGCTTCTTGCCGGAGCACACGGCCCCCGGGAGATGGTCCGGATGGGAGAGCGGGCTCATCCATCTCAGACTTCCTCCTTTCTTTCCCGTCCTTCCTCTCTGGTTCTTGGCAAAGTTTCTACTCTACCTTCCTGTTGAGCCCTCCAGCCAAGGGCAGGGGCTGTGAAGGTCCCCATTCACTGGGCTGGAGAATGGGCTGCTTGGCAAAAGCGGGGCTTTTCCCATTTCCGGCCCTGAACCTCCTTGTAGCTTCCAGAGGGGCTGAAAGGCACTGTGTGGGGAGCCTGGGAGTGAGGGGAACGGGGCGGGGGGGAGACAGGCAGGGCACACTGCCAGGCCCATGGCTGAGCTGGGAGAGAGCGTGAGACGGCTGCTGGAGGCACAGCTGTGGGACCGGTCAGGGGCTAGGAGAGGGCGGGAGGGTTGCCGAGGATGCTGGTGTCCCCCTTTCCCACCGCCACTCCTCCCACACCACGGCGGGCCCAGCGAGTGCCCGGCAAGGGTGCTGGCCATGGACAGCTGACCCCACACGCCCCACCTCGAGGGCTGGGGCCCGGAGGTCCAGGATGCTGGGGTCTGGCTTCCCAGCAGCAGCGTCCCCTCCCGCCCAGGGCAGCCAGTCCCTTCCTCCTCTGATGAGTTGGTGGAGAGGCGCCTTCCCTGGCTCTTGGAGTCCCTCCCAGACTTCATGTTCTTCTCTCTGTACGATGGGTCTTTGCACGGCCACTGGCCAGCCTGGTTTCTTTTCACAACAATCCCATGAGGCTGAGAAGTCAGGGGTGAGGATGACATGGGGAGCCCTTGAGTAGGGGCCAGGCTGGGGGGCTCGGGTCCGGTCCGGTCCTCCCACGAATACCCAGGAACCTCAGGCAGTAGATCAGCGTCTCTACTGGAAGCACTCAAGGTGACGTAGGTGATGCTCAGATGAAAAACCAGTTTTAGAGCAGCCATCTGCTCCCGGCAGGTGACATGCATTTCATCTAGGTTCCTATATAAAAGCACTTCCACAAGCCGTAGATATAGGTAAGGTATTAAATACTAGTAAGAGCCTAGGCCATATGCAGATATGGTGAGAATTGTGAGGGGAGTCTTGGGAAGAATGATCTGGAAACACTGAGGGAGAAACTGAACCTCCGAGTGGGGAGGACTCCTGCCACCCCTGCCAGCCTCCCGGGTCACCACGGGTCGGATCTGGCCGTGGAGAGGGGAGGGTGAGGGCCCCTGCCCACGTGGGAAGGGTTATCATTTTACAGATTCAGAAGCCGAAGCACACAGGGTGGTGCATCTGCCCAGAGTCATGTGGCCGAGCGTCAGCCTGACCCAGGCCAGGCCTCAGACCACAGCCAGTGGCTCTGCACAGACCCCAGGAGCGTGCCTGGGCGTCCAGCTCTAATGTGGGAGGGAGCCCAGGCTGGTTTCAGCCACAGCGAGAGAGACTAAAGTTGGACATGAAGACAAATTTCAGAAGGAAACACGTGGAGGCGCAGGAGGGGCGGGTGGACGGTGGACGGTGGGATGGATGCTAGGAGCGTGGGGGGACCCCGTATGCCTTTCTCAGGAAGGATTCCCACACCGTCGCTGGGACAGGAGAATGTTCGCTCCATTCCCACCCAGACCAAGTGGGGTGTGATTTGGTCCCCGACCCGAGGGAGGGCCTGAGGCCCTGGGAGGCCGGAGTTCCTCTCCACACCCTCCCGCCTGGAGGCTGGGATTCCGTGCTGATGATTCCCAGCTGGGGGTCTTCTCTGACGGGGCCCTTTCTTCCCTCCCACCCCACACTGCTCTCTTCTCCCTCTTCTAGTCCTGGGGCCAGAGAAACCCCGGGATCGAGAAGGTCCCACGCTCTGGACCAGACAGCAGCTTGCCCCTGGCTCTCTCTCCGGGGGTGACATCATCCCCTCGGGGTGGGAAAGGCAGCTGCCTCTCAGTCAAGACCCAGCCGCTGCTCCTGCCTCCGTTTCCCACGCTCGGCTTCCTCCTTCCGTTCTCCCCTTCAATGTCAGCGCTCCTGGCTGGCTGACGAGCCTGCCTGACCATGGGCAGGCGGACGCCAAGGCTCCCCCCCTTCCCCTCCCCGTCCCGTGTGGGGCGCTGGTAGGACAGGACTAGAGATGTTTCTCCTGGATCAGACCAGGTGGATGAATGGAACCCAGTCATTACTGTGCATTCAGGTCCACTGAGGAAGAATGTTCTGGAAGTTCTCAGGAAGCCTTACGTTAAGATGACAGCCCCAGTTCACCTCCAGACCACTTACAATCACGCGCTGCCTCACCTGATCCCTCCAAAGCTGTACCCACGAGGCAAGAAGTCTTATTCCCATTTTAAAGAAGGGAGAAATCGAAAAACAGGATTTCGATAACCCGCCCAGACCACACAGCTGGTACCTGGTGGAGGTGGGATTTGAGTCCTGTTCCATTTGTCTCCAGAGCCCAAGAGCTCAAGCCAATACAGAGTGCCCTTTTCCACAGGGCTGTCCTGTCGACTCCTGTGGATGTAAATGCGGCCTCTGTTTTACGGACAGCCCCGAATTCACACATACCCACACATTCATTCTCCCTGGAAAACCGCACAGAATGCCAGCATTATTTCTCAAGGACTTTTCCATACTGGGAGAGATTGAATGGGGTCATTGCATTCCTCCCCTGCCTCCGACCTGGACTGTGTTCAGCCTCGCAGGAGGCTGCAAGCTCAGGCTCCTGGTCTCTTGGGGAAATGAAACCCTGAGATCTGTCCCGACTCTCTCTCCCTGTGCAGTGAGGTGCTGTCCGCGGGCAGCAAGCAGTCTGTGGGGATGATTTGGGGTGTTCAGTGGTACTCAGTTGTTTTTTGTTGTTGTGTGTGTTTTTTTTAGTCACCCAAGGAGTGAGGATACTTTTCCCATTGATTTTGAGAGAAACATCGATGTGAGACACATCGATTAGTTGCCTCCCACAAGTGCCCCAACTGGGGGCGGAGATGGAACCTGCAACCCAGGTACATGCCCTGGACAGGAAATCGAACCCCAGACCCTCTAGTGCGGAGGCTGATGCTCTAACCCCCGAGCCACGCTGGCTGGGCAGTGTGGTATGATGGAGCAAGTGCAGGGTGCTAGTGGGGTTCTGGGCAGACATAACAAGACCCAGTCCCTCCCTCCATCAGTAGATGCACAATAAACGTTGCCCGAGTGACAGAGGAGCGGGGGGGGGGGGGGGGGGGGGCAGGAGCAGCGGGGCCACAGGGAAGGGCATTGACTAATAAGTGTCTCAGAAGAGGACTGACAGGCGCTCTGGCGGCCGGAAGGCCTTGGAGGCGGCTTCTGCATTTCAGATGGGAAGGGGACGTGAGACATCTGGGGACAGGAACGGGCGTTCAGTGGGAAGGGCGAAACGACCCCAAGGCTCTAGGTCGGGGTGAGGGGAGAGTGGCATGGGGGGCGGAAGGGGGCAGGAATCCGGAGTCAGAGGAGCAGTTGGCTGGGAAGGGACCAGGGAGACTGAGGATGAGGGCTTTGCTCTGGGTCTCCCCCGCTGAGGAAGGGGCCGGGGAGGTGGTAGCCAAAGAGGTCAGAGCGAGGGGCCCAGGAAGCCAGCCGCCCCCGAGGCCACTCGGATGGCACGGGCTGGCCCGGGCGGTTGGCTGTCAGGGCCCGGCCATGTGGGGGAGGTGCTGAGTGTGGCGATGCCCCGCTCAGCAAAGACCTCTTTCTTTGCCCCCAGAACAGTCAGCCCTGCACTGCCCTTAGTGGGGCTGGCTCGGGAGATCCTGCCCCTGGGCCTCCACACCCGCCAGGGCCAGGTTGGCAGGGGTGGGGTTGGCCCTGCAGCCTGAGAGGGTCAGCTGCCCGTGCAGCCCTGCAGAGCCTCTGTGCTGTCCTCCCACGTCTCCCGCCCCCACCCCCCACCCCGTGGGCTGAGCTGTGTGCATGAGGACCAGGCTGGGAGGTAAGATGATCCCCACGGGTCTCTGGGGGGCTTAAGAAGCAGATGGCCCCGCACAGGAGGGCTGCTGCTGGTAACCTGAGCAGAGCTGGCGGGACCGGGCAGCTTGGGCCCAGGGACGGAACCTCATGAATGTTATCAGACCAAGCATCCCTCGCCCAGCCTCCAAACTCGGCCCTCGCCCAAGTCAGTCCCTCAGCCCCTTCCAGCTGGCACCTGGGACTCGGGCCTTAGACACCCACAAAGGGGCTGGGGAACTGGCCCCCCGTGTCCCCACTCTTGGCCCAGTGAGCCAAGAAGGCAGGAAGGGCACAAGAGCCGAGCGCCAGAGCAGCTGGGAGAGGACAGGTGTTCAGAAGGACCGGGAAGAGCCGGGCGAGGGCTTCCGCAAACAGGAGCTTCCTGGCCTCCTGACCTCCACCCTGGCAGCCAGATGTTCCGTGCACAGCAGTGAACGGAAACCCCAGCCGACCACTTCTCACAGGGAGTGAGCTCCCCTTCCCCCATGGGGCACGGGGCACAGGGCACGGGCAGCCTTCGAGCCCAGCGCCACCGCTGCCGTCTTGAGAGTGCTGGGTGGTGAGGACTAGGGCGTGTGGACAGAGCTGTGCTGTGTCTGAGTCCAGCCCTGTGTGCTGTGACCTCAGGCGGTTACTTCACCCACCGTGGATAACTCATTTGTTCAGCTGAGAACAATGATATGTAGAGATGAAGGGCGATGATGCTTGGAGCGTCCTCAGCACCATTCCTGTGGCATAGTTCATACTCACAAAGGGTCATTGTCCTTGTTGTCATCTGGGGGCTCAGAGGCAGGGGCACAGACACAGGAAGGACCACAGCTGTGCGCCCCCACCCTGATCTCAGCTCACCTCTTACTATGTAATCTTGAGCAAGTTACTTACGTGCCTCAGTTTCCTCATCGGTAGGATGGGAACAACACTAGTCACTCCCTCACAGAGTAGTCGGGAGCTTAAATGTAGGTTCATTTGTACGCAGGCATCTATGCATACACCCACGGGGTGGAGAGCAGCGCCCGCCACACGAGTTGCTGGAATGTTATCCTTTATGCAGCCACCCTGGGGTTAAAGGTCCTCCTCCCCAGCTCTGGCCTGCTCTGGGCTAGTTTGTACAGACGGGGTCACTGGCGGCTGGAATGACACTTAAGGTGTGTGTTGGGGGAGGGGTCCAGGTTCAGGGCCAGTGAGGGGCAGCTCTCCCCCCAAGCCCCCCCACAGCTTACTGGTTGGCTCTCTCTGTCTCCGCAGATGTCCATGAAGGAGGTGGGCGACGGCCTGCAGGATCAGATGAACTGCATGATGGGGGCGCTGCAGGAACTGAAGCTTCTCCAGGTGCAGACAGCCCTGGAACAGCTGGACATCTCTGGGGGCACTCCTGCCCCAGGCCGCCCTGCAAGCCCCCGGACACAGCTGGAGCCCCCTCAGTGGGAGGGTGGCAGAGGTCCCGCCAGGCCTGCTGGCCCCTCCCCCTCCAGCCAAGCTTCTCATGGGAGCAACGCCAGGTGCCCGTCCCACAGGAGTGTGTGGGGTGGGGAGCCAGCACTCGGACCCAGGACCCAGCCGCCAGAGCTCCAAGGCTGTGCCGAGCAGAGGCCGGAGCTGGTGGAGCCGGATGACTGGACCTCCACCTTGATGTCCCGGGGCCGGAATCGCCAGCCTCTGGTGATGGGGGACAACGTGTTTGCGGACCTGGTGGGCAACTGGCTGGACTTGCCAGAACTGGAGAAGGGCGGGGAGAAGGGGGAGCCTAGGGAGGCGGGGGAGCCCCAGGGAGAGAGGGGCCAGCCCCGGGAGCTGGGCCGCAGGTTCGCCCTGACCGCCAACATCTTCCGGAAATTCCTGCGGAGCGTACGGCCTGACCGAGACCGGCTGCTGAAGGAGAAGCCAGGCTGGGTGACCCCTTCGGCCTCAGAGCCCCGAGCCGGACGCTCGCAGAGAGTCAAGAAGCGGGGCCATCCCAAGGGTCCGGGGCACCTGCCCTTCCCGGGCGCGGGGGAGCCCAGGCGAGTGGAGGGCACATCCACCGGCTGCCCCAAGGCCCTGGAAGCCGCGCCCTCCGGCTTTGATATTAACACTGCTGTTTGGGTCTGAATCCGGATGCAGAAATCGGACTGAACCCTGAACCCTGCGGGGCCCTGGGGAGGAGGCAGTGGCTGGCCTGGCTCTCAAAAGCCCAACTCCAGGTTCCTTTTCCCCAGAAAGGAGAGGAGGCCAGGCGGCCTGTGGTGGGAGAGGCAGTGATGGCTGGCTGGTAGGGGAGGCGGGGGTGTGTGTGTGTGTTGCTCATTCTGGGCTGGAGGGGGGTGAAGGGGGAAAACAGAAAATCCTTCTGACCTTCCTCACTGCCCCCAAAGACCCCAGTTGAACATTCTACAGGGACTAGGGCACCAGGGCCTCAGGTTCCTCAGAGAAGCCCCAATAAAGACTTCATCTCTCATGTCCCCATAACTGTTTGCTTCCCTGGCAAACCACTGCTCCTGGCACAGGTATTAACCCTGAGCCTCCTGGGAGTGGGGGCAGCAGAGACAAACCCCCACCCCTCCTGCGCCTGCTGCCTTGAGATGTCAGCTGGCACCGGATCCAAAACGGCTGGGTAGGCACTGCAGGCATAAGGAACACTGGGGGAAGCCCTGTCTTTCCAAATCACAAGAAAGGGAATACTTGCAGCACCTAGAGGCACTGGGAAGCCTTTTCACACCCATTATCCCCTGTGCAAGTGAGCAAGTAGGCAGCTATCTCCCCCACCGCCCACAGGAGGCGCTACCTGTCCTAGGACACACCGGCGGGGCCCAGACCAGGGCTGATGGAGAGCAGCTGGGCCCTGGAGTCACACCGCTCCCCCCAACACCCTGTCTCAAGCCCTGCACCCCCACCAGGGCGTGTACACTCTCCAGCGAGGCCATGTGAGCCCAGATGGTACAAACACTCCCAAATCCCTAGCTCCATCTCTGGCCTCTTCCCACCTGACCCAGAACCACCTTGCGGGGAAGGGAGGGCCCTGGGCAGCAGCTCAGCTTCTGCAGCCGTGGTGGTGGCACGTGGCCCAAGAGCAATGCCACCCCAGCCACCCCTTGGAAGCCACAGCCCGCCTACTCTGGCCCGGGAAAGCCTGCTGGCTGGGAACGGACAATGCAGGTCCCTGTTAGGGCCCAGCCAGCCTGGGAGGGCACACTCTCCCTCCCCCTCGCCCCTCCCGCTCATCTGCCTGATGGGAGGTGACAGCTGCAATTAGAGGCAAGAGGCCTTCCTGCCCTCAGAGCATTAATAGCAAATTGGAGAAGAAAAACAAGGAAGGCTCTTGGCGCATCACATCCCATCCCAGGCCCCCAGGGAGGAGATGGGGGAGGCTTACAGTGAGCAGCTCCATAGGGCTGGTTAGGGTCACTCCCAGATTCCCACACAATCAGATGGTAGGTGTGTAGTTCTGGATGGCGGAAGCTACAAGAGGAAAGGCCCAGATTGGTGGTTTTTTTTGTTTGTTTTTGAGAGCCCCTATTTGCAGGCAGCACGCACAACTTTCAAACTTGGGAATGCCTCTAAAAGGTACTGTCATCCTCTGAGCAAATGGAAGAAGCAGGACTGGAAGCAGAGGGTCGTCTGGCTCTGAGACCAACTCTTCCGCTCTCTCCGGCGTTGGCCAACGCAGCTCGCCCTGCCTGGAGGAGCTGCCCTGTCGGCCTGAGGAAGAGACCTGCCTGGTTCAGCTGTCCCCACCCCAGCCCCCTGCTCCTGGGTCTCCCCCAGGACTCGGGTGTTTCGGCCCAGAGGGAAGGCCCACAGACTGGACTGCCTTCGGTGGTGTGTGTGAGTCCAAAGATTCCACTTACTGGTTCCCTGAATCCTGAGAGGAGAAGCCATCCAGCAAATGACTCAAGAAGGCACCAGATCCGAGTCAGGAGCAACTACAGGAAACCGAGTCCCCTCTCTGCCATTCACAGGTGACTCCTCTGTTCTGTGGACCAGTCACAGCGATTCAGACCAATCAAACCGTGTGAGCGCCTCCCACTGCCAGGCACTGCGACAGAAACGAAGAACAGAGCAATGGAAAGGACCCAGTTCCTGATCAGAGGGGAGAAACAACACGAACCCACCGGTGAGCCAGGATTCAAGGGAAAGAACACCCCTTTTAACTTGGGGGGGAGGAGGGGAACAAACCAACCAGGAGTGCCGTCCGCTGCGACATCACAGGTGTCGCACCAGCATCTTCAGGTTATTTCCTCCCCACCACACCCTGGAAGCGGCTGCTGTGACTCGTTTCACAGGGAGAGGCTCGGAGATGGGAACTGGCCAGGGTCTCAGCGGCAGAGCTGAGACTGGAACAGGTCCAGCCCTGTGCTCCTCACACTTCCCACAAGCTGCCACCTCTGCCCCAAAGCCAAGCCAAAACCTGTCCTCTCAGGATCCAGGCCTGGAGGTAAACAGAACGCTGACTTGGGTGGGGAAATCTGCCCAGGTCTTGACAGGGCTGGTGTGATGCCTCCTTGCTATGTTAGGCTTTGCTAATGAAAGCTTATGGCCCATTCGTTCACCCCCCATCTTCCCTTCTCCCTCCCCTTGTGGGCTCCTGCAGGGACTGCGACCAGGATGGAGACTATGTTAAGGAGGCTGAGGGAGGAAGGCACTGGGAATGCCTGGGGCCTAAGTGATGAGGACGTGCGGGCTGGCTGGGCTGGCTGGGGAGCTGTGGGTAGTGGGGGGAAGTAGTGGAAGCACAGAGTGAGAAACTGACAGCTTAATTCTGCCCCTGGGGCTCATTTTATGGTTAATCAGGACATGCAAATAGGCTGGAAGCTCATTTCATATTCTCCCTGGCCTGGGCCCTGCCTCACACCTGGCCTGCTTCCCTGGCAGGTACTGAGCCCCCCCCCCTCCCCCCCAGCCGATTGGCTCAGGCATCTGCTCAGGGTCCCACTTGCTTCTTTGTGGTCCTGTGGCCAGTCTGTGCCTATCCTGTCCCCTGACCATAAGCAAGAGCTGGAAAAGGAAGGGCCTGCCCCCTCCTGCCCTTCTCTTTCCAACCCTTCACACCTGCCCTCAAGCACTTCCCCTGCACCCACCCCTCAGGTTGAGATCTGAACCCCAACTTGCCCTGAGGAAGAGACCTACCTGGTTCAGCTGTCTCCACCCCAGCCCCCTGCTCCCCAGAGCCCTGTCCGGGGGCTCTGTCTCCCCAAGTGACATTTCCTATAGGGCCCCATAAAAGCCAGAGCACAGCCTGTCCCTCTGGGGAGCAGGGGCCTGTGTCCCCAGGTGACTTCCCACCGGGGCACTTAAGGCCGTTCTGCTGGTGCCAGGGCATGAGTGCTGGGCCTGGAGGCGGACACACAGGACATGAGGCCCCTTCGTCACTGCAGAGCCTGAGCATGTTGCTGGGCCTCTGGGAGCCTCTTCCTTTCACTGGAGGAGCAGGGACCATGCAGGGCTGCGTGAGACTGAAAGGACAAAACGTACCTAAGGGTCAAGCACACCGTCTATACATTGAGCAGAATATATGGGACTCCCTGACCTTCAGTTCCGGCACTAACCGCGGGACGCAATGCAAAAATGCTTAAAAAAAAAAAAAAGCTCTCTCAGAGCCTTGTTAAAAATGCATACTGGCCCTGTGACCTCACCTGATGTAGCCAGGATCAGAAGACAATAGGTGTGACATGTTTTTGTAGAGTGCAAAAACATTACCCAGAGGGCTGCTGTTTGCCAGTTTACTGTTTTCCATGGAAGGATGGTGTGTGTGTTGGGGGTGGGGTGGGGTGGGGGGCAGCAGCATGGGCTGTACTCAGAAGTGGGGCTTGAGGAGCCCACTGCCTGAGGATGTGCTCTGGGGAGCACCCCACCCCTCCCGCTCCCCAGCTCTCCTGCACGGTCAGCCCTCAGGGCCCTCACGTTCTTGGCAAGGACTAGAGTTGAACGAGCCAAGTCCTGATGGTCTGGAGGAGTCAGGCCCCTGCTCTAAATCCTTGGTGGCTGGAGTCTCTCCCTCCCCAACCCCAGCCACAGGGAATAACGGCTGAAAGAGACTGTGCTGCCCTTCTCGAATCCACTCCCATGGGCGGAATGCAAGGAGTGGTGGAGGGAGGCGAGGCGTCTGTGAAGCCTGCCCCTCTTGGAGGGCTCAGGGTCCGGGCTGTGTTGCCAGAGGAAGGGCAATGGACCAGCAGGGCCCAGAAGATCCTGGGCTAACCCTGATCCTAACCCTAAAGGGCTGGGGCCAGACCTGACTGCAGTCACCCCCTCGGCACTATTATTAGATGCCCCGCCTCTCTTTTGCCTCCTCTAGCCAATCCTTATGGCACCAGGATGATGAAACCTCTCATCCAGATTCCCTCTGTTCCTGCCCTTGTCACAGTGCCCTCAATCAGTCCTGACACACCCCTCCACCCACCACCTCCAGGCCCAGAAACACACCCCAATTCTGGCACAAACACACACATGCACGCCCAGGCACCACAATGAACTCAGCCTTGCCAAGGTCCCGAAACCCTGGGCCCTGGGTGGGGAAGGCAGTGGGGTCCCCGACTCTAGCTCTCAGGCCAGATGCCACTGGCCCTGGATTCCACACCACAGAAGCCATTCCCTCTCCATATGCCCCTCTGAGCACGTCTGCCCTGGTCCAGGGACACAGGACTCTGCCAAAAACGACCGCCTGATGCTCTGTGCCTTCGCCCTCTCCCAGCCATGACCCAGCCCTGGGTGGTCCACTGTCTGGGTGGCCCTTCTGGGTGCCCGCCCCACTCACAGAAGCCCGTTTCCTCCTGGCACAGCAGATGCCCACCCCAGCTTGCGGCTGCCCGCCTCTGGGGCCGTTGCTATGGTGGGGGAAGGTGACCCCATCCCAGGGAAGAATCAGGTTTTGTTTTCTTGTTTCCCGCTCTGCACATGTTACTCCCCCTCCTCCAGCGCCTCCCTCAGCCCCTTCCTCATCTGCTCTCCCCACCGGGAGGCTGGAGCCTGCAGCTGCAAGGAAGTGCCGCCTGGGGTCTGCGGGGACAGAGGAAGTGAAGGAACAGAGAGCCTGTGACCTCATTGTCCTCACTGCCTGCTTCCCGGGGAGCCTGGAGTTCCCAGCCCTGCCCACTCAGACCCAGGGAGCTCAGCCTTATTTCTGGGCACTTCTCACTCCCACTTGCCCTCCAGGAGAGGAGCTACTTGGTGGTGCCCCCAGCCTGGGGTTTCTGTGCCTCTGGGACTTTCTCCCACCTCAGACCGGCTGGCTTTTCACCTTTCACTCCCCTGGGAAGCCCTCCGGGAGGCCTTGCCTGTGCCTGTCCCCAACCACAGGACTCAGACTGTCACTCGTGTGGTGTGCGTGTTTATCTTCCTAGACTGAGGGCCTCCAGGGCAGTGAGTCCTCACTCCTTACTGGTGTATCAGCAGCCCCAAGCCCTAGGCCAGTGATGGCGAACCTATGACACGTGTGTCAGAGGTGACACGCGAACTCATTTTTTTGGTTGATTTTTCTTTGTTAAATGGCATTTAAATATATAAAATAAATATCAAAAATATAAATCTTTGTTTTACTATGGTTGCAAATATCAAAAAATTTCTATATGTGACACGGCACCAGAGTTAAGTTAGGGTTTTTCAAAATGCTGACATGCCGAGCTCGAAAGGTTCACCATCACTGCCCTAGGCTGTCACCAGACCTCCACTCCTCAGCCCTGGACTGAGCCTGCCCCCTCCCCCCCAGTCCTCCCACCCCCGGGTGAGACCAGCAGCCAAGTGGACCTCAGTTCCCATCCTGGAGGGCATCACCGTGGTCCCAGCCCCCGAATCCTCTCCCTTTCGGCACCCGCCCCCCCATACCCGTCCTCCTGACCTGGCTCAGCTCCTAGTTCTTTTTGGCAACGTCTGGCCTAGACTTGCACTACCAGGGCTCCCCACCCGTCCTGGGGACACTGAGTCTGCCGCGTCTCCCTCCCCCATTGTGGAGGGCCAGGGCGGGGCAATGGGAAGGAAGCTGAGAGTTGGGTGTTCAGCGCCTTCTCTACCCTGAGCCGCACTCCTGGCCACACGCCAGGCATTGTCTCCAGGGGCTGGGGGGCCAGCAAGGCACCAGGCGGACATCACTTGGGTGGGAAAGGGGAGGGTGTCAGCAAAACAAAACAAAGCAAAACAAAAAACCACAAAACACCCCAAACCAGAAACAGAGGTTCTTACAAACAGGACAAATGTAGCAACTAAAATTGCTCCACAGACTCAGCTTCCCAGCCAGAGGTACAAGGGCTGATAACTTCTTGCCGAGCCTCCTCGCAGCCTCCCTCCACCACGGCAGCCTGGGAGCAGCCTGGGGGCAGCCTGGGAGAGCCTGGTGGATTGTGAGCACTGGCCAGACTGACTCAAGCAGGTGTTAGGATCCTGACCTGAGTTCTGAGCATCTGTTCAGAGAAGTCCATTTATATCCCAGAAAATAGCGGGCGAGGCTCTCCATCAGTGGTTCCAGGGCCCAAGGAATTCCAAAACATGGCCTTGGCTTCAGGACCCTGCTGGGAGGTAGGGATCAAATGTCTCCTTTCATCTTCTCCATTAAATGTATCCGCTCCCAGGATAGGCTGGCAGGCCCAATGCCGTCACAGTTCTAAGCCCTCCTTTCCAAACGGGGAAGACTGCATGCTTAGCATCCCCCCAGCCTGGTGGCTCTTCACACTCCCCAACCCACCCAACCAGAGACAGCAGTGACGGGAAGGGTAAGGTGGCCTGGGGTGGGGAGTGGGGGAGGGGGCGACTGACCATGTGGCTTCCCTCTCACCCTGAAGGGAAGGCCTGGATGGTGGGAGTGCTGGCATCTACTCAATGGGGTGGATTTCGGAAAGACCCCCTTCCCAGCCTTCCCACTCAATGGGTAGATCCCCTGGGAAGAGCCTGAGGGGCTGCTGTCTCCTGCTGTGAAGTAACAGCTGAGAGAGGAAAACATGGGAGGGTGTGAACATGTACTGCATGCCCAGTAGGGCAGCAGCATCATGCCAGGTGAGGAGAGGAATAGGGAGCAAAGAAAGACTTGTCTCTTCAACCCTAACATCTCTGAGCACCAAAGTACTAATGCTGGTTCCCTTCTAAACGGGGCTTGCATTCAGGAATGGTCACAACCACATGCCTTGGAGATCATTAAAGGGGGAAATTGAAATGAGAAATGAAGACGGGGAAGCTAGAGCCCGCGGGGAGTGGACAATATTGTAATTTTCATTCTGGTCAGTTCTGAAACGTCCCCACCCCTGCCCTCCAAGTCCCACCTAGAGGCTGCTCTGCCCTCGTTAGTTACCTGGCTTAACCTACTAGCCTGTCAACTTCCTGTCCCAATGTCCCACGCACAATTCGGCCCCAACCTCCTCCAGCCAATTCCGTCCACAGTAACACTGCCAGAAACTTGTCATTTCTTGTTCTGCTTCCTGCACGTGCTTTTTCCTGAAACCCGCCTGATTCTTCCCCATTCTCGCCCTCCAAGGCCTTCTACCTCCGCCTCGTCTCTCTGCAGCCTTTCAGGTCTCCCCGAGCATCTGTCTCTTCCACCTCACACTACTTTGCCTCAAC